GTGCTGAAGCTGACCAGGCGGTTTGCTGATTGCTGCAAGGAGGCAAATTGCTGGGAGGCAGAGGCAGATTTTTTCTCTCTCTTGTTTTCCTCCATGAAAACTAGGCACATCTTATACTTCAGAGTGTCTTATACTCCCAAAAATATGGTATTTTAGCGCCTTTAACATGTTATTCTTCCAAGTTTTGAAGATTTCCAGAGCAGGTGGATCAAATAACACGAATTCTTTGATTCTCCCTTTTCCAGATTGTTTTCATTAGAGAAGATCATCTTAATTTTTTTAGGTGCTAGTCATCATGAATGCTAGTTCCACTGCTTTGTGGCTTCCCAATGTACCCTGGCCATCCCCCTTGGAAACTGACTCTGACCTGAACAGGTTCAGAGACATCCTTAAGATCATCTTCTACACGGTTATTTTTCTCCTTGGTTCCCTCGGCAATGGAGTTGTGATCTGGATCACCACCCGCCAGGTTTCACGGACCATCAGCTGCGTCTGGTTCTTCAACCTAGCTGTGGCTGACTTTCTTTTCTCTGTGAGCCGTATAGCGCCACTTGTTGCGGTGAAGGAAGGTTGGATCTTCGGGAGTTTTGCATGCAAAGCCAACGGCTTCATCAAGTACCTCAACATGTTCTGCAGCGAATTTCTCTTAGCCACAATCAGCATGGACCGGGCTGCTTGTATCGCTTACCCATTATGGGCCAGAAAACACCGGAACATCCGCTTGGCATGGCTCGCCGCTATCGGAGCTTGGCTCACGGCCATCATCACAAGCATTCCTTTCTCCCTTTACCGGAAGCTGGACACCAAGAACAACCGAACCAAATGCTTGGTGATGCTAAAGGGAGAAGAACTGGGAGTAGAAGTGTCGATCTCCATGTTGAGACTGATATGTGGGTTCTTGGTCCCCTTCACCATCATCGTGCTATGCTACGGCATCATCATCGTGGTCCTCAGGAGACGTCAGACCTCCCACCACTCAAAGAAGTCCTTCAAGGTCATATTGGCCCTGGTGGTGACCTTCTTCCTCTGTTGGTTGCCCTATCACATCACCCAGCTCCTTAAATGGCCAGGATTGAGTGGCCCAACCTTCTCGTTTGTTACTCTTGTTACGGCCTTCTTGGCCTACCTCAACAGTTGTGCAAATCCATTCCTTTACTTCTTCATGGGCATGGACTTCCATAAAAAGTGGACCCTCTATAATATCATCAGGGCACTCAAGAGAACCTTGCTGGAAGAGGGCAGCTCTCGAAGTACAAAATCCACTAATAGCCACAAAGGATCAATTTCTATGAATGAACAGGCAATATCATCAGAAATCTCTCAGTTGCACTGTGAAAACTCAACCGGGGATGGGATTCAAATTTCTTAACTACCAGTTCTGTGGACGTGGCCTAATTTGTGGGTTTGGCTGGGTGGTCATATGACTGGGTGGGCATGGCTTACTGACTAGGCATGGCTTGGTGGTCATGTGACTGGCTGGGTGTGGCTTGTAAATATCGACTTTTTTTACAAAAAAAGAGCAACTTTTACCCCAAATCAGGCAAAGCACGCAGGCAGGTAGAGTTGCTTGCAGAATCACAGATTCACTCATAGATCTATGATTCTGCAATCTGCTACCTGAGTCTGTACTGAAAAATAGAAGCTTCAATCCTAAGGAAGGTTCAGCTCTGCTTTTAAGATTAGCTAGAAAGCAAAAACATCCAATGATTTCCTGCTTTCTAGCTAATCTAAATCTCCTAGCACAGCAGAACAGTTGATGGTTGAGGGGGAAAAAAGGAAAAATAGAAACATACCAAACGCAGGCAAGTTTGAGGGCCTGCATGCCAGGTAAAGAGTGAGTGGGTGGGGAGGGGAAGGGAGGGGCAGGCCAGCCAGTGGCGTGATTTGCCGGTTCTCTGAACTGCAAAGAATTGTAACAACCGGTTCTATAGAACTGGTCCGACCAGGTAGAATCCCACCCCTGAACTCAACCACTCCAATGTGAAGCATCCCAGGAGCAGTGAAATTTGAAATTGTGTACTTCCATTGTTGTCCCATCCCCAAGCCATATTTTTGGACATGCTGAATTTTTAAATATTTGTAGGTGGAAAGGGCTGACAGAAAGCAGCCTTTTCCCTCATAAGAGCCAAGGTGGCGTAGTGGTGAGAGTGCAGTACTGCAGGCGACTTCTGCTGACTGCCGGCTGCCTGCAATTTGGCAGTTCAAATCTCATCAGGCTCAAGGTTGATTTGGCCTTCCATCCTTCTGAGGTGGGTCAAATGAGGACCCAGGTTGTTGGGGGCAAGAGGCTGACTCTGTAAACCACTCAGAGAGGGCTGTAAAAGCACTGTGAAGCGGTATATAAGTCTAAATGTTATTGCTATGGTATAACGAGCTGTGAAATTGCTTTAATTGTTTTGCATTGGTTACATAACATCTGTGCATCATGTTAGTCATATCTGAATGTTGATTTCTTTCAGGCTCTTATTCATCAGGAACCTTATCAGGGTTTATCTCTAATTTTAGTCAAATCATAAGCCATCATGGAACCATCTTAAAATGATAGCTAAGATAGCCTCTGGTTCTGCTTTTCTAGTTTTGAAAAGAACACGGGCACCGAACTTTGGTGACTTTAAGACTTGCAGACTTCAACTCCCAGAATTCCCCATTCCCAGCATGGCTGGGAATGGGGAATTCTGGGAGTTGAAATCCGCAAGTCTTAAAGATGACACGGCTGGACACCCCTGCTTTTGGCCTGCAACTTTATGGATGCAAGATTATACTCAGCTGTGCTATTTATTGTTTATACTTGTTAGAAAATAGGAAATTGCTCCTGCGCGAACCTGGTGAGAAGCTTGGGCGTGCAGATGTGATTTCTGATTTTATGTGTGCTGGAATTATTGGGATGGGTAGAAGCCTCCTTGTTCTGCAATAAATCTGTCATTTCCCCCCCCCTTTCTGGTGACTCTTAAGTGCATGTTGCAGAAGAGAGAGTTAACCAACTGTTGTAAAATCTGGTGGTTAGATAACTCAATTTCTGTCTCGGATTGCTATCAGAGTTCCCCCGAAGCTGTCTGAAAGGATTCTGCAATGAACTTTCTCAACTTTCCTATGTTCAAAAGAAGGCTCTTCAACTTTGATTCAAAGTTTTTCAAGAACAGTCACACTAGGTATTAACTGTTTCACTTAGCAACAGAAATGTTGGGCTCACTTGTGGTCATACCATGAGGACTGTATGTATCTGGAGGGAGCCGTCAGCTTTAGAATAACAATACAACACCCCCCCAATTCTACCAGCCTTTGCTCTGTGTTTGCTTTAGTTTTAATGTGAATGTTTTTAACTGTTAGGTAGTGGCTTACATTTTTAGTACTACTTCTTTATGGTACTAAAGTACTACTAATTAAAGTACTTTAGTGCTACTCTGGGCTCTGTGAAGGTTTACAGGCTTCTTACTATTACAACTAGACAACGTGTGATCAGTTGCTTCATCATTTCAAAGGTATTTCCTTACCTAAAGAGAAATCGAATGATCACATTACAGGCAAAAAGCAGGAGTGACTTTTGGCTTCCTGCTGGTTTCCCCAGTGACTTTCCTTGCAGGAAGCTGACAGGGAGCATTGGAAATTATGGGATGGGCTCAGGGGTGGGATTCTACAGGTTCGCACCTATTCGCTAGAACCAGTTGTTAACATTATAAGCAGTTCGGTTGTTAGGAAGAAATTACTGGCCTAATCCTGTAAGGAAGGCAGGAAGGAAACATTCTGGTGTTGCTTACAGAAACTGCCTCTCCATTAACCCTTATTACTTTGTTGGCAGGACTAGACTTCCTGTCTCAGGAACTTCTCTGGAGTTTTTTTTCCTCTTTTGATGGTACTTTGCTTGTGTGGAGTGACCATTCAAAGTTACAATGGCACTGAAAAAAGTGACTTATGACCATTTTTCACACTTACGACTGTTGCAGCATCCTCACGGTCACGAGAGGCCAGGCGAGGAGATGCGTGCCTCGATGTGAGTGATGTTGAGTTGGCCACGCCCAGCCAGTCACATGACCACCAAGCCACACCCACCAACCAAGCCACACTCACAGAACCAGTTGTTAAAAACATGGAATCCCACTCCTGGATGGGCTGCTGGGGGTTTGCAGGGGTTTGGGAGAGCCCCTAGCTAAGATTCTGTGCAGTTTGGAGATCCCCCAAATCCCACCCCTGGCTGGCCTCGCCCACCCTCCCCACCCCCTCCCAGGAGTCCATTTTGGATGCAGATAAGTGCAGGGTGTGTGCGGAGATACGGGAATGGTGAAAAACGGGCCTCCTGGAATTTTGGGGATGCCAGAACTGGGGCCATTTCCAGCTTCCAGATCCCGGCGAAGCTGTTTTCGCCCTTCTGGAGGCTCGAGAGCCCAGGGATGGCAAAAATGCCTCCCCCGGTGCAGGAGGCTGACTAGGCCACGCCCACCATGGCCACACCCACCCACCCAGCAACCAGGCAGAGAACCCCTGGCTACAATGTTTGAAGCCCACCCCTGGTTACGGCTCTGCAACCATTTTTATCCTTGTATAAATGAGCACTCAAGAACAATGTAGGCTCCTTAAAATCTTGTCTTCTAGACCAGAGATCTTCAACCTTGGCCACTTTAAGCCTGGAGGACTTCAACTCCTAGGTTTGCTGGCTGGGGAATTCTGGGAGTTGAAGTCCGCCAGGCTTAAAGTTGCCAAGGTTGGAGACCCCTCTTCTAGGCAGGTATAGACTGAGTCTGTTTTCACTGGAAGGATTTTATACAATAAATATTCCATACATGATTTTGTACACGGCTTCCCCTTTCAACAGTGTTCCCAGGTTTTTAAAGAAAAGAACCCCAAACACATAAATAAATATAGAGATCTATACAGCCTTGGGGAGGAGGGGGGAAAGTTCTCCCTTCTGATCAAGGAAAAAGGCACTTCCGTTCAAAGTGTCCTACAGAAATCTCAAGAACATTTTCCATCTGCCAACTGACTTATGCCATTGCAAAAACATCTCCTCTGATTTCCAGAGAAGCGTCATTTTTTTTTTTTTTTTTTTTGGAGTTAAGGGCATCTTCCAGAGAAATTGTTCTGAATTCTCTGGAATAAGTTTGCTATCTTTTATGCCACGGGCTGGAATCCATACCAACAGCCTGGTCTTCCAAAAGGCCTTTTCAAAGTTTTCTCCAGCAGACTTTGTGTGATTGGAAATGTCTTCTGAGCTAGTCCATGAAACATTCAACCTATCCATCATCTTTAAGCATCGACAGCTGCAACTCTGGGTACCGAACAAGCCCTATATGGTAGTTAAGACTCCAGCCAACATTAAAGCATCCAAGTTCGGCCACTGGATGTCTTGTTGATCGGTTTTCCCTTAGAAGGAGATACCCCAGTAAAACCTTGGGAAGAAGTGCTAAACCGAAGAGTTTAAGTGTCCATTTCCTAGGAAAAACCTAGTCAGTATCGAGTGTTCTCCTCTGCTGCTGTGACAATTGCATCCATCCAGATCCTCATAGCCTCTGGACTTGGGGCCACCATGCAAAAGAGACGATCATAGGTTTTGACACAGAAAGTCAGTTTCGGGTTGGGACTCTGCCAAAAAACAAAAAGAGGAATGAATGGACGAATGAAAATAATGGGCTGTATTCACACAGAACCTCTTAACCCTCGTACTGAATTGACCCATACATCTGAGTTAGAGTCATCCTTTTTTTTTTCCTTTCTAGTGTTTTTCTGCAAAGCGAAGGCTCCACTTTTTCTCCTACATCAATCAAGTGTTGGTCCATTAGTTTCCATAGAAATTGACCAATTGATTTGTCACGAGCCTGATGTAGTGGACTGAGAGAGAGAGTGACTGGTCCAAAATTCCCCAGTTGGCTTTCATAACTAAGGCAAGACTAAAACTCACTGACTCCTGGTGAGTGTCCCAAACTCACCCAGCCGGCTTTCATGCTTAAGGCAGGACTAGAACTCACCATCTCCTAGTGATTGGCCCAAACTCACCCAGCCTGCTTTCATACCTAAGGTGAGACTAGAACTCACTGTCACCTAGTTTCTAGCCTGGCGCCTTCACCATTGTACCAAAATAATGTGAGGGTTCATAAGCTGAAGCCCAAGTTAACTCAATGTGCTGACTCATTGCTATAAGCAATGCACATAAGCAACAACAGAAAACCTAATTAAGATTTGGATAGCCAATTGAATATGGTGTATCGATGCAATTGTGAGATTTATAACTGATGTTTATAACACATGTTGAGTGAAGATCATTGTGCAAAAACATAAATACTGTATTATTTTAAAGACTGGTTTGTTTGTTTCTTTTGTATGTCTGCATACAACTGCCTGTTCACAGCAAGCCCATGAAAAACTCTTAGAAATAAATAAAAAAATAAACTAAACTAGAAAAAGACCGCAAAGCATTACAGCATTAAAATGTCAAGATAAAGGCCCATCACAGAAGGCAGAAGCAAACGCAGCACTGTTAGCAATTGAAAACTGGCAGTAATTAAAATGGGGTTGTAAAAGGCAAAAAGCTAAATGTATAAAAACACTTCACAGGAAGTGTTAATACCACTTTATAATGCCTTGGTAAGGCCACACTTAGAAGACTGCATCAAGTTTTGGTTGCCACGATGTAAAAAAGAAGTTGAGACTCTAGAAAGAATGCAGAGAAGAGCAACAAAGATGATTAGGGGACTGGAGGCTAAAACATATGAAGAACGGTTGCAGGAACTGGGTATGTCTAGTCTAATGAAAAGAAGGACTAGGGGAGACATGATAGCAGAGTTTCAATATCTCAGGGGCTGCCACAAAGAAGAGGGAGTCAAGCTATTCTCCAAAGCACCAGAAGGCAGGACAAGAAGCAACGGATGGAAACTCATCAAGGAGAGAAGCAACTTAGAACTAAGGAGGAATTTCCTGACAGTTAGAACAATTAAGCAGTGGAACAACTTGCCTCCAGAAGTTGTGAATGATCCAACACTAGGAGATTTTAAAAAGATGTTAGATAACCATTTGTGTCATGCCCCTGGTGGAGACTGACTCTGAGGGAGAGGAGGAACAGCCAACAGGGAGTGGGAGTGTGGCTCCGGAGGTGGTGGAGGAGGCTGGGGAAGGGCAGAGGCCGGCTGAGCAATCAGAGGAGGATCCAGGCCCATCCCCTATCCATCCTAGGTCACGCAGGGAGGAGAGGATCAGGGAAAAGCGAGGTCTACTCAGGAGGAGATTACCATGATCCTCCTCGTGGCTTGCAGGTGGGAGCTATGTATATAACTTTGCAACTGCGCAGTTAGAATTCGCAGGAGTCAATTTAGTGTTCACCTTGAAAGAGGTTTATCTTTGCTGGCGTTCTTCCCATGGACTTTTCTCGGTTATTTTCCTGGGGTTTATGATTGGTTATCTTGGTTTGCTTCGGAACTCTCATCAATGCGGTTTGTTTTGGTTTTCTGTTTGCCTCATTATTTACTTTTGTGACTTTAAACTGTGCCTAATAAAACAGTGAAGTTAAGTTGAAGGCCTTACCGGACTTTAATATATGTTTTGGGTTTAGGGTTATTTTGCGAGACTACGGATCATCATAATTTGTCTGAAGTGGTGTGGGGCTTCCTGCCTAGGCAGGGGGTTGGACTAGAAGATCTCCAAGGTCCCTTCCAATTCTGCTATTCTACTCCATTCCATTCCATTCCTATTTCTATTTCTATTCTAAAATATGTCTCAGGGGTTTTCTCAAGTGATGTCTGTGAAAAAGCCAAGATAATTGGTTTTGGGAAGGGAAAGAAGTATACAAAACATGACAACTTTTCTAAGGAAATTAGGGCAATTTGATCTTGAACTAGTTTCATTATTCAGTCACTTGAATTATGATGAGAGTATTTGGAGGTGGTGGGAAACTTTGCAGAGAGGGCAATTTGCTTATGGAAAGTCCGACACATGGTTCCTGCCTTCTGCAGTTAAGATTCCCAGGTCAAGTTTAAGGGGCAAAAGGCTTCTGTTGAATAAATAGTTCTGGATAAAATTTATTACATGTCAGACGATTCTCAAAAACAGCAAAGGACACTGTTTTGACTAAGTCAGTTCAAACTTCACGTCTCTATTCCCGGACATTATTCGGTTTATAGTTATACTCATAAACTATTATCAGATGTTGTTTGTTTAGGATTATGACTTTGTGGGGGAAGAGGAGGGGGTTGAAATATTTGAAAGGAAGGGACTTGCACACACAAAGTTGGATTGTTGTTCCAACTCAGCCTGGAGAAGCCTGCATTAAATAAAGATGGTGTGAACTTCTGGCTAGAAAGAACAAGCAGCAAAGCAAAATGAATGTGGGATGAAAATTAAAATGTCTCGGACTTTAGGAATTACACAAAATAGCGCAAACTGACCTTTCCCATTCCGAAAAAAAAAGAGATTCAATTGGATGGTTTTATTGTTTATTTCTAGTGAAGAAATTTATTTGGTAAAGTTGCAAGGTTTACCTGACACAGAATTGGTTAAAATGTGAGTATTTAAGGGCAGTGGTATGCCCATTTTTGCTCAAGTCCAGTGAAATGATCAATGGCGAGAGAACAGTGTCAAATATATCTAAGTTATCATTTTAGAGTGATAAGTAATATAGAAAGCTTAAGAACTCCTGCAATATTTCATTGATTGGCAAATGATATTGATAACATCCTTCTTTCTTGTAAAACCAGCCTAGAATAGCTACTAATAAAAATCTAACATCATAGGTAAAGCCATTAGTTCATGAAAATACACTAATTTCTCAAACTGGACAACTTTTAAGACATGTGGACTTCAACTCCCAGAATTTCCCAGCCCACTGGGGGAATTCTGGAGATCGAAGTCCACATGTCCTAAAGTCCCCAAGTTTGAGAAACAATGCACTAAAACTTCATACTATAATATATAATCCCATTCATCAATCGACAGAGACAGAATTGAAATTCATAGCCTAAGCAAGCAGTTCTAAAATCAGACGAGAGCAGAATTTTTAAATTTGAAGCATGCAGCCCAATGTTGTGGAAATTTATTCCAAGATTTCTGGGGGGGAAATCATATTGGATGCTTCCACAGAATAATAAAATAAAAGCAAATTTTGTGGAGCAATTCTAGGAAGGGAAGCTTGGTCACTCACTCACTCAGCCCAAAATGCTAAAGGCCTGAATCAGTTTGGATCCCACACAGCCCCTCCCAGGTCTGCGTGGATTAAAAATGAGACTTTCAGCAAATCTCTACTCTTGGTACCTTGAAAGCACTGCGGAGATGATCACAATAAACCTCTTCAATGGCCTGGAAATAGATCACACCCTTAAGTTTGGTCTCTTCTTTGTCTGGAGGGGGATTTAAAAATAAAATCACAGGTCCATGTTAGCAAGTTGGAAAAGGCAGAAAACGAAGGCCCAATGGATTCAATGAGAAATGGCTGAATTCATTGCTCTAATCTTGCCTTCAGTTCAGGGGTTATGTTCACCCAATAAGTTTAAACAGGTCAATTGAAGACCTGCCAGCCACATTCACACGATCTTTAGGCATTTTATAGCATGTTTGCCTTTCTGCGGCTTAGCATCTGGTATAAATCCAAAGTATGTCTTTTACTTTATGATTCGGTACATTATGCAAAACTAGAAAATGGAATGGAATAGAACAGAACAGAATATAATAGAAGCTGGAAGGGACCTGGGAGGTCTTCTAGCCCACCCACCCCCGCCTAGGCAGGAAACCCTACGCCACTTCAGACAAATGGATATCCAATCTCTTCTTAAAAACCGCCAGTGTTGGAGAATTTACAACTTCTGGAGGCAAGTTGTTCCACTGATTAATTATTCTCACTGTCGGGAAATTTCTCCTGAGAGAAAGGAGTACTTTTCTAAACTCTCTCTCGCTCTCTCTCTCTCCCCCTCCCTCCCTCCCTGCCTCCCTCCCTCTCTCTCTCTCTCTCACCTGTGTAATACGCCAAGACGCGCTTCTGCCGATCGAAAGTGAACCAACGTTTCTTCCAAGTCTTGATCCTCCCGCCCATTTTGACTAGGTAACCTTTGCAAGATTTGCCAGTCACCCTCACGTGCTGGCAAGTCTCGACGCTATGCCCCGACGCCTCCAGATGTTTCCGCAGGTCAAAGGCAGCCGGTTTAGGTTCCCGGATCTCCATGGGGTTGTGGATCTGTAGGGCAACGAGAAGGCAAGGCTTAAAACCAGACAAATGTCGGTCCAAGGAAGCCCTGCCTGAGCTGTGGTTTGTTTTTCCTCGTTTGGAGGAAAGAGATTTCGCACAATCTCAGCATTCTTCCTACAGGCCCAGGGAAGACAGGATAGCGGTGTTCCAATATTTGAGGGGCTGCTCCAGAGAGCGGGATGGAGGGTGGGCCAAGGTATTTTTCAAAGCACCTGAAGGACAGACAAGAAATTATGGATGGAAACCGATGAAGGAGAGATTCAAACTAGAAATAAAGAGAAATTTCTGACGGTGAGAACAATCAACCCATGAAACAGAAGTTGCCTTTGGAAGTTGTGGGAGCTTCATCATCACTGGAGGCCTGCCATTTGTCAGAAATGGGGCAGGGTCTCCTGCTTGGACGGGAGGGATTGGACTAGATGACCTACCAGGTCCCTTCCAACTGTGTTAATCTAATCAGTGCCACATCGGAACAGATAGTTCCCTTCCTGTAACCTAAGCAACTGTGCTAAAGATAAGTCTTCCATGGTCCTCACAGTATATCGTAGCAGGAGACCAGAAAATAAGCTTCTGGGCTTTCTAACTTCTTCTAACCTTTATCTTCACAAGTTTAAATCAGGGGTCTCTAACCTTGGCAACTTTAAGACCTGTGGACCTCAACTCCCAGAATCCCCCAGCCAGCCATGGCTGGCTGGGGAATTCTGGGAGTTGAAGTCCACAAGTCTTAAAGTTGGCCACCCCTGTTTTAGATCATTAAATCAACGTCCTTCAGATGCAAGATGGGACTATGAAGATGAACAAATCACCTCTAATGAAAACACTGAGATTAAAATGAAATCTGGAGGGCACGCTCACCAGCATGTTAGGCCTGAACAAATAACGACATTACAGCCCAACATGATTCACCCAGCATGCCAAGACAATGTCTGGATTCCTCTCTAACCAGACAAACTTCCCAACCTCATTTTAACCTAGCCTAGCCTGCTAAGAAAATCCTCCCAGTGCAAAACCTGGGCATTTCCTAAAGGTTTCCCTTTCCAAATCAGCTCAAACTCCGATCTCCCGAAGGCTGACCGAATGATCGGCAAAGCCTATGGTACTCTTGGGTTCTTCTAGAGAAAGACGCAGATCTCCTTACCATGTTCGACGAGGACAACTCAATACGCTTCACTTCTTCCGCTACTTTCTTCGCTTCCTGAAAGGAAAGACGGTTGAAGGCGGTTTGCGTGTGGTAAGAACAGGGGACAGGCAGTACCATCCCAGCTATTGCAGACATATCACCCCGCCACCCCTCAAAAAAAACAAAAAAACCAAGCATACACAAGAAAGACCACAAGGACTTTCTCTTCCTCCTAGACCAACTCTGGGATATTTTTACCCAGCATGCAGGAAGAGCCGACAGGGTGAAATTTGCAACTTCCTCATTCTCAAAAACATGTGAGAAGCAGATGAGAAGCAGGGTTACTCCGGTTTAGAGCAAAAGTCACAGGAGTGAGTCAGGAAGGCTTTGATGTGTGTTTATTCCCCATTTGAAACTTTGGGGTGATTGGAATGATCCTAACCCTGTTAGCCTCTCCTAAGGCCCTAAAAAACTGACTACGTTCTCATGCTTGGGGTGCTAAATGTGTTTATAGCAATAGCAACAGCACTTAGACTTATACACCACTTTACAGTGCTTTACAGCCCTCTCTAAGCGGTTTACATAGTCAGACTATTGCCCTCCAAAATTCAGGTCCACATTTGACCCACCTCGGAAGGATGGAAGGCTGAGTCGACCTGGAGCCAGGTGGGATTTGAACTGCCAAATTGCAGGCAGCCAGCAGGCAGCAGAAGTAGCTCGCAGTACTGCACTCTAACCACTGCACCACCGAGGCTCAGTTAAGAGCCCCATTTCTTGGCTGTATTGCTAACCGGTCAAGTATCTTGATCCTATGTATATTTATTTAATCCGGATTGTTAGGGATACACCCTAGCAAGATCTGCAGGGCAGTCAGGCAGGCAGGCAAAATATGTGAGATATCGTGTTGTGTAGCTTACACTCAGTAAAAGCAGATACAGTGCCGATTAAAGTAGTTTTATTCCAGCAAGAGTTAAAGCATAGTCAAAACAGTCCATATATCATACACTTAGTTCAGTCCGTCCAGGGATTTAGTGTTTTTAATTGCAATGCATTGTCTGGATTGTAAGTTGCCTGGAGTCATGGATTGAGACGGACAGCTATAGAAATTGATTGATTGAGTGATTGATTAATTGAATGAATGAATGAATGAATGAATGAATGAATGAATGAATGAATTGAATTGAATGTCCCAAAGGTGCTTTTCAAAGGCAATTAGACTTTCTTGGTTTTGACCTGGATGATTGAGAATCTTCACGGATGGATGGATGGATGAATGAATGAATTGAATGTCCCAAAGGTGCTTTTCAAAGGCAATTAGACTTTCTTGGGTTTTGACCTGAATGATTGAGAATCTCCACAGATCCGTAATGGCGAACCTATGGCACATGTGCCACAGGTGGCACGCAGAGCCATTTGTGCCGGCATCCGAGCCGCAGGCAAACTTACCTCACTGCACATGCATGCACCTCACAGCTGATTTTCGGCTGGTTTGAGGCCTTTTTCAGCCTCCCAGAGGCTGCAATACCGGAAGTGACGAAACAGGCCTATTATTCATCCTGCAAAGCCTGCAGAGGCTTTTTTCAAGCCTCTGGGAGGCCGAAAAAGGCACCAAACCATCCAAAAATCAGCTGTGAGGCACAGTGCAGGTCAGGGGGCAATGGAGGGAGCAGCAGGGGGGGGTATTGCACATGTATGCGCAGGGGGCATGGGGGTCACATGCATTGCCTTCTGGGTGCTGGCATGTGAGTGCGCACACGCAAGCTTGCACACAATTTTGGGCACAGGAGCCCAAAAAGTTTAGCCACCACTGCCATAGATAGATGGATGGATGAATGTATGACAAAAACTTGACTATGGTCCAGGAGCTGAGTCTGCTCATTTCAACCTCTTACCCTTTCTTGCAGCAATCGTTCTCGTTCAGCCATGGCTTCCCGCACCCGGCGTTCCATCTCTGCCAGTTTGGTGACACAGTTTTCAAGGCTGTTGGGAGAAATACCCAGTTAATGCCAATCAATCCACATGTACGTCCATGCCAATGGAAAGGAAACAGGCCCACTTATTATAGTCTTTGATTCATCAAACCATATCATTTTAAGATAGGAAGTGATCTTGGAATTTAATCCATCAGGTCACTCTGTGGAAGAATTATGTACCTGCGGCATCCCTGAGAACCGTCTGAAAGTTGAGTCACGACAACTGGACTTACCTTCTTGTTGGTTTGAGATGCTTTGCTGCCCATCCAAGCAGCTTCTTCAGACTGAACAAGTTGGTTAGAGGAATCTGAGTAGGCAGAGAGTCATTGGAATGTGCCAAATCCTAAAATTCTAAGGGGGTTCCTATAACCAGCTGCGTGGATGGGCAGCAAAACATCTCAAACCAGCAAGAAAATAAGTCGAGCTGCCACGGCTCAACTTCCAGCCATTTCAACCTGGATGATGGAGAATCTTCATTGACATCCCTACAGAGTTGATGATCTGGATTCTGCCTAAATACCTCTAGTCCTAGACTAGAACTAAAGCGAGCTAGTTAAACAAATAGCATTTGGGGTGAGGGGTGAGAGGAAAGGAAATATTTCTTTTTCCAGTAGAGCTTGCTGCTCTAGTCTTATCAGTCTGACATCCTGAGCTTATCTCAACATACACAGCTGCATGGATTCCTTCCAAGGAACATGGATTCCTTGGAAGCTGTGGATAGATTGACCTTCGGGGAGAGCCAATTTAGTTTGACTGGAGAAGGCTGCAAAGGACAAACAGAACCAGGTCTTTGTGTAAACAGGCTGAAATTAAAGAAGGAAGACATCAATGGGATGAGAATGGGATCATGTGCTCACCTGTAAGCTCCTTGAGGGGTTGTTCCCACCTGCCTGGTAGTTGCCTGGCCACCCAGCAGCTGGTAAAGGGGTTTGTTGTAACGTGAGAATTGAAGGTTTGGACTTCCCAGATAATGGCCCTTGCTTCCATTGGAGAGTTGAGCCACCAGAAGACTGGGATCCAGAGCACCTGGGAGACATAAGTCAAGATAGCATCAGCACCCTCAGAAAGCATCTTAAAATCAACTTTATTTTGGTCCAGTTGCTACTTTAAGCTTATGATTTCATGACTGTCCTCCTGACCTTGTTAGGTTTGTATCTGAGTAGTCAAACACATTTGCCTGCCAAAACTCTCGTTCAGTATTGACAATCAGTGAAGGAAGAATATTCAACACTACAAAGAATTTTGTGGCATTTCTCTTAACACCCGATGCTGGTATGGAACCAATAACATAATGCATCCTTCTTTTCCTAGTCTTTCTTTCTTTCTTTCTTTCTTTCTTTCTTTCTTTCTTTCTTTCTTTCTTTCTTTCTTTCTTTCTTTCTTTCTTTCTTTCTTTCTTTCTCTTTCTTTTCTTTTATATACACTGAGAGCATTTGAACCAAGACAAATTCCTTGGGTGCCCAATCACGCTTGGCCAATAAAGAATTCTATTCTATTCTATTTCTTTTTCTTTCTCTTTCTTTTCTTTTATATACACTGAGAGCATTTGAACCAAGACAAATTCCATGGGTGCCCAATCACGCTTGGCCAATAAAGAATTCTATTCTATTTCTTTCTTTTTCCTTCCTTCCTTCCTTCCTTCCTTCCTTCCTTCCTTCCTTCCTTCCTTTCTTTCTTTCTTTCTTTCTTTCTTTATTTTCTTTCTTTCTTTCTTTCCTTTCTTTCTTTTTTCATTTCTTTTCTTTCTTTCTTTCTCTTTCCCTCTCTTTCCCCTTCCCTTCCTTCTTCCCTCCCCCTTGGAATTCCTGACTTTAAAAAAAAATCAAATTTAACAACTGAAAAAGTCCTTGCGTAAAAACTCAAGACATCTTGAGAAACTTGGCTACTCTGTGAGTTTTCAACCACCCTTCTTTGTAAAAAAAAAATTGTCGTATTTTTCATTTTGGTGGTCATCAGTGGTCAGCATAGAGGAAGTGTTCCAGGAATGATAGTGGCAGTAGCTCCCACATGCTCCACCCACCCCAGTCCACGTGCTGAACCCATACCATGCATTGAAATGGGACGTTGAGGAGGGCGGGGCGGGACGCGATCCCTGCTCCTGCGAGGTAGGCTGGCGGTCCGTTGCAGTCCAATTGAACCCTGAGAAGGGAAAGCACAGAATATAGAGGGAGTCTCCTTTAGCAGCAGTTTGGATGAGTAACCAGGCCTTCCCAGGATGCAATTTGTTTCTCCATCTTTTGTGGGTTTTTGATCTTGTCTTAATCTGTTCCTGAACTCGCTGATTAGTTGAATTCTGGATGCATCTCATGGAAACAGAATCCTGATCGGCTTCAAAATGCTAGCTTGGATCACACATCTACTTCACCCAGGTCAGCTAATTATGAACAGTTGCAATGCTATACTGGGTTGCTGGCTGGGGAATTCTGGGAGTTGAAGTCCATATATCTTAAAGTGGCCAAGGTTAGGAAACACTATTCTATAGAAATTATTACTCTGTTCCTTTAAGACCCCTTTTTCCTTATGCAGAGTTAAGCAATGCAACTTTAGTATTTAGTCATGCTAAAACTTTTGGGGGATTTCTCTGTTAAGCCTATTCTTCCTGTTTAGCATCTTTGGTCTGGGAGCAGTAATCATTTTTAAGATCATTAATCATTTTTAAGATCACTGCGCTAAGTTTACATGTTATTTTTTCAGCTGTTTACAGTAATTGTTTTTAAACATTTGGGGAGGACAGAGGCAGAAAGTTCATGCACTGAAAATTAACCCAAGCCAAAGAGGCAGGACATACCTTGACAGAACTACAGACGGAGAAGACACAGGAGGACGAGTCCGACTGGTCGGAGCCCAAGACAATGACCTTCCGATCCGTTTTTTGGGTAAAAGTCAGCTGCAAGGAAACAGACACTTATCAATGTGAGCATCATTGCTGGAAGAAGGGTGGGTATAGAACAGGGGGCCCCAAACTTGGCAACTTTAACACTTGTGGACTTCAACTCCCAGAATTCTCCAGCCAAACGTTAAGATTTCTACTTGCTTTGATTCATTAAAGCCGTGAAAAAAGGGAACAGGGTAGTTTCTCTTCATCCAGACATGCCCTAATGGGCAGAGTCTACAATGTCCTTCTGAATCTGGAATGCAACCTTGGATGCTCTCAAGAAAAGGGAGATAGTATGTATATGTAACATACACGTATTAACTGCAACTAGAAATGTATTTGCACAAAATGTGGAAAGCGGTGAGATTACCATACTTAATATAATATTATATATTTTCATTAGAAGGTATGTTAAGAGGGAGAAATGAATAGAGTTATAATGCTGATTATTAATATTGTAAGATTAGAGAATTATTATCAATATAATGAATACTGTAAATTCTGATTGTAATAGCACAGAAACATTTGTACCCAGATGATACACTGTTTAATGGAAGATGATATGTTCAAGTTAAAAAAAGTTACAAACTTAAAAAAAAAAAGGAACAGGGAGATAGAAAAGCATTGCCAAGTCCTAGAGAGGCTTACCTGGGTCACACCCTCCTTATTTTCTGACAGGTCCTCCCCATTCGCTGAATACTCCTGGCTCCTATCCATGAGGCGGCTTTTCTCCTAAATGCAGACAAGCAAGGAGTCAGTCATTCTTCGATTTCACAATGTTTGGAGAAGTTTCTGCTGAAGCACATCTCAGCCTGCTCTATCAGCTACGCTGAGCTGCCTCCTAATATCAGGACTTGGACCAGTGTTTTTCAAACTTGGCAACTTGAAGGTAGGGAGATGTGTGGACTTCAACTCCCAGAATTCCAGTGTGTGGACTTTCAACTCCCAGTTCTTAACTGGCTGAGGAATTCTGGGAGTTGAAGTCCACACACCTCCAGGTCGCCAAGTTTTAAAAACACCAACTTAGACTACGGAGGATAAAATTCCATCCCAAAACTCAAATTCTCCTATACTCTAGGTACAAAAAAATTAAAATAAAGCACGGGGGGATTTGATTTAAACCAAGTCGATTTAAATCACGATTTAAATCACTAGTACAAAAGGCTTGATTTAAATTCACTTGATTTACATCATAATTTTTAAAGAGCAACTGTCATCTCTGTTCCACAGCAGCTACTCCTCTGACTCACTGTTGACTCACCGACAGTCCCAATATTGCAGAATATAGAGCCTCATATGCTACAGAACTAAGCTCCCTTTCATGCTGAATAAACTAAAGGATTAATGTATCTTAAATAGAAAATTATAGATAGATTTTTTTACTCCAAAAGCATTTTATTAAAATAAATTTGATCAACATTTAAAAAAAATCTGATTTAAATTTTTAAAAAATCTGATTTAAATTTTTAAAAATCCAATATTCTTTATTATTTTTAAAAAAATATCCACCCTGGTTTCAATACATTAGAAGTTTCCAGCTGCTGCAGAGTCTTCTGAATGGGCAGAGGGAAACTCAGTGAACTAAAATTCTAGGATTTCATAAAGTGAAATAGACCATCTTTGGAGAGATCGGAAGTTCCAGGTTGGATGTCTTAATAGTAATTTTATATCTTATGTTGAAAACACCTGAGACTTACAGTAGTAAGGAATATCTGCCTAGCCAGAGCGTGCTGCAACCAAAGAGTTTCAGACATAATTCTGCACCTGCAGATTCTGTTCATGTAGGATTCATTTTCATTAACTTCAGCTAAAAATATCCCACTGTCTCCATGCTTGTTCCCTTCATTCATGGAATGTATAAGTGCTCGACTTAAAACCACAACTGGGGCCAGAATTTCTGGTTGCCAAGCACCCACATTTTGTCTGTGTGGATGCTGTGACTGTTGTAAGCGCAATAGGTAGTCCTTGACTTACAACACTTCATTTAGTGTCTGTTCAAAGTTACAATGGCACTGAAAAAAGTGACTGATGAGGGTTTTACGCTTATGACCATTGCAGTATGCCGATGGTCACGTGATCAAAATTCAGATGCTTGGCAGCTGGTTCATATTTATACGGTTGCTGTTTCCTAGGGTCACGAGATCCCCTTTTGCGATCTTCTGACAAGCAAAGATTCACTTAACAACAAGGTCACTAACTTACCAATGTCAAGCTTTGAATCAACTGCGATGATTCACTTAATAACTGGAGCAAGAAAGGTCAAAACTCACTTAACAAATGTCTCACTTAACTACAGAAATTTTGGGCTCAATTGTGATTGTAAATCAGAGGTGGTATATTCAGCAGGTTCTGACCAGTTCTGGAGAACCGGTAGAGGAAATTTTGGGTGGTTCGGAGAACTGGCAAATCCCACCTCTGACTGGCCCCGCAAATCCCATCTATTCTCTGCCTCCCATTGAGTCCCAGCTGATCGGCTGGGTCTCCTTTGGTTGCCCTGCACAGGAGAATGGAGCTGGAAAGCAGGTTAGTGGGTTGGTTGGGGAGGGAATGGGGATTTTGCAGTAACCTTCCCCAGCCACCCCTACGAAGCCATGCCCACAGAACCAGTAGTAAAAAATTTTGAATCCCACCATTGTTGTAAATCAAGGACTACTTTTAGTTGTAGTTGTGTTTTCCCAGTGCTACTGTGACTTTGAACAGTGGCTACATGAATGGCTGTAAGTCAAGGACTATCTGTATTTCAGATGTCCAGATGGGAAAAACCAAGAGTGGTCCATTCCTTCAGCTCTTAGATCCATGACTAGACCAGCCAACATTTGGAAGAATCAAAACCTTCTTCTAAAACATTTGTCCTGCTCAAAGCCAGGAAAGCTGAGCTGGCAGCTTCTAAAGTCTGATCTCGAATTATAATTTGATCTTCCAAGAAGCCTATAAAGCGTACAAATCTAATCCACAGCTCAAGAGGGACATTTCTCCCCAAACAAACCACATCCAGGAACCCAGGGAAACATCCCCCTTGCGATCTCCCCACGGATTAGAAGGAGAAGAAGGTACTTGATTGAGGGATTCAAGAACTGGCAAATGTTGAAAGCGTGGGAAAGTGGGATAGGCAAAAAACAAAGCAAAAAAACCGAGCGTGGAAACCAGGAGAGTCAAAGCTTCTTGGCAGAGGAAAAGGGATTCCGTACCGCGTTGAGATGGCTGACAGCCTCTCCCTCTTCTTGTGCAAATCTCTGGCACACACCCATCATTTGTTCTTGTGTTAAAAGGGCTTGGCCTTCCAACTTCTGGACTCTCTTCTGCATGGGTGGAGAGAAACTTGGTGAATTAAAAAAAATCTAGGATTTCAAGAGAGATAGTAATTCTCCCTGCAGACAGCGCCTGTTCAAAAGTGACAGGTGCTGTTAAAAAAGAAAGAAGAAGAAGAAGAAAAGAAATACAACTGTGGAATCGCCAAAACATTGCAAAATGTTTTGCAGGTGATTGTCTACTTTTTACAAGGTCTTTGTGGTTAAGTGTGTATTGTCTTAAAAAAAACACAGTACAGTACACTACAAAAACCAAAGGATCTCAAGGCAAAAGCAATTTCGCCAACAGCTTAAGATTCTTATAAGATAAAAGAAAATCCATTGTTTTCAATTGTCTTTCTTTTCGAATACTACAAAATTTCAGAATCTCTTTCAAAGCAAACTGGCAAGAATTTAAGACTTGAACCCACAAATTATCTAGCTTAGTTTAGAGCCAGGTTTCTCTAATGACCAAGTTACCGTTCAACCAGATCTAAGTTTGAAGTTAAAATAAAACATTTCCGGAATTATTTGCTATTATTTTGGTGCACAATCTGGGATGTTCGTTTATCGATGACGTCTATCACAAATGAAGCTGAATATACGTGTCCCAGGATGATGTTTCAGGATCCAATCTGGGTTGGTCACCAGGACCAAAGGTTTTGTCTTCTGAGCTTTTGGACTCATGCTGGAGCCCATCTTCAGGGAACTTCTCCTTAGCTAGAACTTCTCTCTTTTGGACTCTTGGTGGAGCCCATCTTCTGGGAACTTCTCCCTAGCTAGAACTTCTCTCTTTTGGACTCTTGGTGGAGTCCATCTTCAGAGAACTTCTCCCTAGCTAGAACTTCTCTCTTTCGGACTCTCCATGGAGTCCATCTTCAGGGAACTTCTCTCTGGTTTGGGATGTTCTATGTGTGGTATTGTGCCCATTGTGTGTGGCTTTTTAGATGCCGATTGGAGTGTTGAAGGCTGGCTATTAAGTCGTTGATGTTGGTAACGACCCAGATTGGATCCAACAACATCTATATTTCTGCCCTTCCGATCTTTTTGGCCTTATCTACTCGGTTCCCTCCAAATGTATTCAACCAATTTCCACAAATACTAAACGGTGTTTCCTTTGACGGTGCTGGCTTACCATCATTGGTACTGAGGCAGTGGTGGGATTCAAACATTTTTACTACCGGTTCTGTGGGTGTGGCTTGGTGGGCGGGGCAGAGGAAGGATACTGTAAAATCTCCAGGCAGAGGCGGTATTTGCTACTCAATGTTTCCACTACCAGTTCTCCAGAACTGGTCAGAACCTGCTGAATTCCACTTCTGTACTGAGGTCCAACCAGAGGTGGTATTCAGCAGGTTCTGAACGGTTCTGGAGAACCGGTAGAGGAAATTTTGAGTAGTTTGGAGAACTGGCCAATGAGACCTCTGACTGGCCCCACCCCCATCTATTCTCTGCCTCCCGAGTCCCAGCTGATCGGCTGGGTCTTCTTTGGTTGCCCTGCACAGGAGAATGGAGCTGAAAAGCAGGTTAGTGGGGTGGGGTTGAAATGGGATTTGGCAGTATCCTTCCCCTGCCATGTCCACCAAGCCATGCCCACAGAACCGGTAGTAAAAAAAATTGAATCCCACCACTGGGTCCAACCAGATGGAGGAGGATTTTATGGGACAATCGTGGACTGGAAACCGAGGGGAGAAAATTGAGACTAGAACTGGATCACAGGGGATTAACCTGACCACTTCTCACCTTCCTTTGGTTAATGCTATTCTGCAACTGGGTGATCTCTTCAGTCAGAGCACGACAAATAGCTTCTTTCTCCTCTTCTAGGTGGCTTTCGCGCTCTAGTTGCTGGAACTCCAGGTCTTCATAACATCTCAGGGCTCCTTCTAGCATCTCAGATGTCTAGGAAACAATTCATAGAATAGTATTCTTTATTGGCCAAGTGTGATTGGGCACACAAGGAATTTGTCTTCGGTGCATAAGCTCTCATAAAAAATACATTCATCCAGAATCATAAGATACAAGACTGAGTGATAGTCATAGGATACTAAATAAGCAATCAAAATCATGCTAGAAAACTAAATAAAACAATATAATCGTAAAGATACAAGCAACAAGGTTAAACTCATAAGAAGAAGAGCAGTTACCATCCCTGGATTTCATCTTCTCAAAGAGCATCTTCCAATACGTGCATCTCATTCAAAACTCTGAAAAATCCAAGCAGGCAGTGCAATCTCCACTCCGATGATGGAGACCGTAGCCACATCTGAAGTCCTTCCACCAAAAATCAGACCTCTCTATATATTCCTAAACCGAGCACATCGCTCAATCTAGGTGGGATCATTTTTGTCAATTTCAACGGATCTCAACAAGCTAAGTCAGGTCAGGCCTGTTTGAACTCACCGCAAAATTCCAAAATCAGAGACCAGACTAGGAAGTCAAAGCAACAGCCCAGAAGAAGGCAAGTGCCAACCACCTTCTGAATCAAGGAAAGCATTCCCGTGTTCTGTCTTACTTATTGGCAAAAAAAATCAGAAAATAAAATACAGGATGTGAATAGTCAAGACCTTGTTGATGATCCAAACTCTGTCAAGGATCTTGGAATACTCATCTCTAATGACCTAAGTGCTAGAGCCCCCTGTACTACATAGCCAAAAAGGCATTAAGAGTTGTTAACCTAATCTTATGTAGCTTTTTCTCTGGTAATATTACACTACTAACTAGAGCATACAAAACATTTGCTAGACCAATACTCGAATACAGCTCATCAGTCTGGAACCCACATTACGTATCTGATATTAACACTGTTGAGAAAGTCCAGAAATATTTCACAAGAAGAGTTCTCCACTCCTTCACTTGTTGCAGAATATCTTATGCCACCAGACTCGAAATTCTAGACCTAGACAACCTAGAACTACGCCGCCTTCGGTCCGATCTAAGTATAGTATATAAAAATATATATTGCAATGTCCTACCTGTCAATGAATACTTCAGCTTCAACCATAACAATACAAGAGCAAACAATAGATACAAACTCAAGGTTAACCGCACCAAACTTGATTGCAGGAAATACGACTTCAGCAACAGAGTGGTCAATGTCTGGAATATTCTACCTGACTCTGTAGTTTCTTCCCCAAACCCCCAAAACTTTAACCTTAGACTGTCTACTATTGAACCTCACCCCTTTCCTAAGAGATCAGTAGGGGGCGTGCATAAGCGCACCAATGTGCCTACCGTCCTTGTCCTGTTGTTTCTTTTATTTTTCTTATATGCATCCATGTATTCATAACTATGTTTTTACTTATACTATTATCTCGTAAGCAATTGACAAACCAAATAAAATTTTAAAAATGTGATTTAGTGGACATGGACTATCTCCTGCCGAACGCTGAATTGAACTGACACGCACTTACCTCCTGTAGCTGTTTTTGCATGCGTTCGCGCATCAATTCCGGCTGGTTGTTTAGGTGGCTCTGAGACTCAGCATGCTGCCTCTGGAGTTCCTCTACCCTCTGACGTTCTCGTTGTAGACGTGCCTTCTCCTGCCAAAAAGAGAAGCAGGGCGGGGCAGCGTCACTACCTGTCCATGGGCGATGTAAATCTATCCAGCCGCTCCTGCTGGTAGGGATAGATACACCTTCCTCACCCAGAGATGATCAGGGCACTGATAAGACTGCCTGGGAGGCCTTCTTCTCACCGATGGGGTAACCTCGGAGTTGCATGGAACAACTCCCTTACTTGCTACGGGCAATCAGGAATTCCAGCAGGTAAATGAGCAAACTGGAATAGGAGGCATGGATTACGAGGTTCACGGAGTGTGGGGAATCCTGGACTAATGACCATAATTGGAAACTGTGTTGTAAGACAAAACGGCAGTAAGTCGATTTCTGCCCTTTCTCGTGGCAGTCGTTAAGCGAACACTGTAGACATTTAAGCAAACTCATTGTATTTGAATGTGTCAGAATATTCATGAACTGGAAGAGGCCTGGTAACAAGGTCAGCCAATGAATTGGCATAGACGCTAAGGCAGCCAATGAGGACTTTTTGGAAACTGAAACTGGAAGGAGCCTGAGCATGGCTCTATATTTAAGCTCTGAGTCTTGTCTGCCACTGCTGGATTGAAACTGAAACTGTTATCTGCTGTTCTCTCATCTGTTTGTGTTTTTGCCTGTAACTCTCTACCACGTTGGAAGAACCTACATTGGTATTGGCTTGAAATTTTGGGCTTGGACAACCTTGAACTATGCCACCTACAGTTAGACTTAAGCGTAGTACACAAAATTATCTGCTACAATGTCCTACCATCAATGACTACTTCAGCTTCAACCGCAACAATACAAGAGCACAAACTCAATGTAAAACTATCAATGTAAAACAATGTAAACTATCCACTATTGACCTCACCCCATTCCTAAGAGGTCTGTAGGGGGCGTGCATAAGTGCACCATCGTTCCTACTGTCTCTGTCCCACTGTTCCCATTTATTTGTACCTATTTCCTGTATTCTTATTCATGTTTATACTTATACCTATTATCTTGTAAGCGATTGAGAAATCTAATAAATAAATTAAAAATTAAAAATAAAATAAAAGTATTGTACATTTACTTATGTGTTATATGTATATAAAGAAGTGAATGAATCCTGCTGAATCAGTCATCTGTGTGTACTTTCTGGATTTGAATCTCTGCAACAAACTCTAACAGAATGGACGTTTTGGCCAGAAACCAGAAAAAAGGTCAGAAACAAGCATCAAACTTCATGAATGGCAGGTAGTCCTTGACTTACAACAATTTGTTTAGCGACTGATCAACGGCACTGAAAAAAGTGTGTTGGAAGTTAAAACCCACCCCTCTCCTAGAAAATTCTAGGAAATATTAAAAAAGGCCGAATAATTTCCCAAAGCCCTTTTCATTACATCATCATCCAGCAAGGCTCAACCAAGCCTGGGACTCAGGACAGCCTACAGAGTTGCCCTTGCATGGCCCCATGGGAGTATGACATCCAATCAGAATACAAGCTCAAATTCAAATCCCAACAGAGGGTATAAAACCCAGGCACTTTCAGCATCTCAGCCCTTCCTTCTTTGGAGCTCCAAGCCAGGTCATCCTGTCCACCATTAAACCATCTTTCCAAACAGCCTCCATGATTCCCGTGTCTTTTTCCCCACTTGGAACTGGACCCAGAAGGATAATAAGCATAGATTTTCAGGAGGACAGGCAAGTGTTTTTTATATCCTCTAATCTATTCCTTCCTTCCTTCCTTCCTTCCTTCCTTCCTTCCTTCCTTCCTTCCTTCCTTCCTTCCTTCCTT